GGTGGGGGGGGCGGAGGAAGGGCCCTTAGGGCTGGTTCCTCCTCCTGTGAGTTAAGGCTCTCAGGCCTTTGGGGCTGGGCTAGGCTGAGTAACCTGGTTGCCATGGCTATGGGGAGCGGGCCTGTGGTGAGAGGCTTTCTGCTTCCCCACGAGTGGTGTGGTCACTGTGGCATGGTGGGGCCATGTCCCGGGAGCCTGTGGAATGAGGGAAGTGGCTCAGAATGAAAAGTGAAGCGGCCTCTCTCCCTTCCTCTGGGAAGTGCGTGTAACCTGACTGGGCAGAGGGTCATCAGGGATGGGGACGTGTTATATGGTCTTCTCTGCAAGCCAGCATCCGTGTACCTGGCAGGCCCGCTGCCCTCCCCAAGGCAGCGCACTGCAGGGTCCTGGATCCTGCCTCCCACGAGCAGGAACCTTCCCTGTCACGGGGCACACGCACCTGCCAGACGAGGCTCTGCTCTCAGACTGCCTTTGGCCCAGTAGGCAGATGACCTGGGTACTGGATAAGCACAATGCACAGGATGTAATCAACTCGCAGCTTACTTTTGTGTCCCACAGCCCATTTCCAATGTATTCTGTGGGAGAAGCTCCCCTATGACCCATGGAAGGAAACTCAGCCAGTCATGAGATATTCCATTTGCTCCTGGGGAATAGACAAGCCTAGGACACGTTTCCTCACAAAGCCCAGTCTTACTTCAGAAACTAGTTATAACTCAAAACTCCAGTCTTAATTTAGAATGACATCTTCTGCCCCACCTCCAAGAATGGTTTCAGGTGGGCTGCAGGCCCTGCGGAAAGGCCTGTGGGAGGATTCCCTGATCTTCCTCTATGCCCACTAGGGGTGGGGTGCAGTGAGGAAGGAGGGAAAGAGGTACCAAAGTTCTTAACTGAGCAGCTGCTATCACGAAGTGGGCCTGGCGGAAGTGTAAGCCTTCTTTCTCTCAGGCGCATTTTTGAGGATTCTTAGGAGACCCTCCCCCTGAGCTGGGGATCTCTTATTTAGGGTCCTCCTGCCATCTCTGTTTCAGGAGCTCACTTGAAATTACTTCTTTAGCCCCGGAGAATCCAGTTACCACCCTCAGCTTCCTGCACCTTCGGTTTTGCCCCTTTCTCCCACAGGCCCACTCTGGACCCAGAAAATACTCACGGGTTCATTGCCCCACAGACTCTGGGGGTTCGGGCTCACCTAGCACACCAGCATCTCTCTCACCCGCTCAGTTTCCTGGGCAGGAGTCAGACCCCAGTTTGTCATGCACCACAACTGCAGGGGTGACGATAGCTCTCCAAGTGCAAGCTTAAGGTGAGGGGTCAGTTACCCCAACCCTCCTTTCGGGAGGGAAAGGAAGGGAGCTCACAACACAGCTTTCTCCACAATTAGGTTCCTCACACAGTACTCGCTTTCCCCCCATAACCTAACTGCCCCTGATCTGAGAACCTTTTTCTGGGCCATTTCCTTTGTAAATTCTGCGTTTGGTCTGGTCTGGTGTGCAGCCAACTATCATGCCTTGTTGGAAACTTCGATTTTAGTATCTTGTTATTTGTGCATAACAAAGACCATTAAAATAAAAGGTAGGCTGTGTGCTCCGTTAGTGGAGCAGGAACTCAGAAGCGAGTTCAGTTTTCATTCACTTGCTCCTTCAGCAAACATGGCGCATGCAGCTCATGGTCTAGTACGGGCTTGTTTCCCGGAAGTCCGTGAGCCCCTTGGGGATTTCCTGGAGGGGCTTCCAGGTCTGAGAACCGGCCCCCGCCCTGTTGTTGCAGCATGCTTCAGGAAAGGCTTTGCAGAAGCCAGTCTTTGATGGTATTTTAGGCAAGAGGGGCTGGGTGCTGAGGCTGGGAGGTGGGAAGGCACTTGGGACAGCTGGGGGGTGGGGCGGTGGGGTTCATGGATGGAAGGGCTGGGCAGGCAGGAAGCTTAGGCAGCTTTGCGGGAGTTGGGCTCTCAGCTCTCACCGTGTTCAGCTCTCCTGGGGGTAGCATGGAGTCTTGCTGAGGGACATTCTACCTCTTTGGCTGAGCTGTGGGCCTTGAAAATAGGGTGAGGTGGGGGCCAAGACCCTGCTTGGGGTCTAGAGGGAGATCTTCTATTTGGGATTTAGAGGGGAAACCCTCTTCTCTTCCAGAAATGTCATCTCCAACCCTCTACCCCTCTCCACCCCTGGTTCAGAGCTTTTAAGGCTTATACCCAGCCCTTAGCTCTGGAGAACAAAGAGAAATGCCTGCAGATCCCTGGGATGGCCACCTCCTAGGCAGATGGTGAGCTCTGAAACCCCTGGCCTGGGCCAGGCAAGTTCGGCCTGAAGTCTCAGAGCAGGGAGCTGACTCCTTCTCTCCGCAGGAAACAATAGCCTCCCCGGTTATCCTCCGTGTGGATCCCAAGGGCTACTACTTGTACTGGACATATCAGAATAAGGTGAGGCAGCCCCTACCTACCATGGCCCTGAGCTCCTGCTGTTCCATTGAGTCCAAGCAGCCTCTCGATGACACAGGGGTGGAGGTGTGGTTGCCAGGAGTACAGAATGACCGGGAAGGGTGGCTCTGGGGGGATCTCCTGTGGGCAGGGTCTCTTTGCTTTGGGAGGGAGGAGGCAGTCACTCCAACCATGGCTGCCTTGGGCCCAGATGCTTCAGCTTTAGCATCCCTTGGAGAGAGAGAGAGAGAAAGGAATTAGACCTATTGCTGAACGCTGATTCCCTGCCTGTGGTTCTGGGTAAACTTGAGGGCTCAGAGAGGTCAGAGAACATCCTCGGCACCTGGGCAGAAGGGAGGGAGGGGGAACCTGGGGAGAGTCCAGGATGGTGGAGGGGAGGCTGGAGGTCACAGCTCCCAAGTAACTCGAGCGGCCAGGAGAGGAGTGGCCAGAGAGGAAGGGAGGAGGGTCACCATGAGGAAGGAGAGCCCGATCGCTGAGCACGGAAGGCTGGGGTCTGGGAAGCCCCACGGTCTTGGCATCTAGAGAAGGCAGCTGGCCAAGATGTGAAGGGATGGAAGCTCCCTCCTCGCTGCCCTTCATTCTTGACCTGAGGTCTTTGTCCGCATCCTGTTTTTGCTCCTACCAGGAGATGGAGTTTCTGGATATCACCAGCATCCGGGACACACGCTTTGGGAAGTTTGCCAAGATGCCCAAGGTAAGTGGGCCCAGTAGCAGCCCAGGCTCAGCACAGCCACCAGCTCCACGGGGCTGGGGCAGGAGTCCCTGTGGGGGCAGGGAGCCTGATCTCTGGAGCCAGGGAAGGGTCCGTGGGCTGAGCAGAGGGTCTCTCCCTGAGCTGAGCAAGGGGCATGACTCCTCCCTGGCTTGCTGGGGCTTTGGTATCAGGGCACAGTGGATGGAGATGTTGTGTGGCCAGCTACTGCCCCTAGAGCACCCCAGGCTGTCTGGGAGGTGTTGCTTGCATCCTCTCCCCCTCCACCCCGACTGCTTTGCCTATATTTGCCTAATGCTGGTAGGAAAATTGGAGGAAGGGATTGGTGGAAAGCAGGATTCCCTGAGACTGGGGACTAAGAATCTGTCTTCAAATGAAAAATGGCAAACAAAATACACAGAACTCCCAGGCCCCAAAGTCTTGGTTAATCTCTTCCTGTGGGCCTCTCCCTCCCGTGGATGCCACCTCCGTGGGCCAGATTTCAAGTGGCTGAGAGGGAAAGACAGGGAGAGCCACAGTGGGCAGGGACGGGGGCACACACCTCTGATCCTAACCTCGTCACGACCTGCTACAGAGCCAGAAGCTCCGGGATGTCTTTAACATGGACTTTCCTGACAACAACTTCCTGCT